CTCACCACTATCAAGCCTCGGAAGCACTGTACAGCTACTTCATTGTTAGGGATCAACAGCACGTGCTCAAAATTCATCGGGAGTCTTGCCTAGGCACAGGTGGTTGCTAATCCGACTGGTAACCACTTGAGCTATCTGATCTAGCTGTTTGCTACACGTCAAAACCACCTGATACGGCGCCCACTCATGATTGTCGTCCAAATTACTAGGCTTTTCAGCTGAATTCTAATACACCTGAGCAGGGCAGTTGCACCTATTGAGCATGAATGTGTTTTAAATGAAACGGTTTTGGTGGCCTGCTTTGTTTATCGAAGTAAATTCATCTTGCAGGGTTAACGTATCAAAACTAGTTGCGTAATTATTTGTTCACATCAGTGGTTGTGCATTTCCCCCTACTATACTCAGCCTGCTTCTCCTTCGTTTCCTTGTTCTTCACAGTTGGTTACTTTGACATTCCTACTCCCCCGGACTACTATCGTGTTTATACGTTGCAGTTGGGTTTCTACTTACATTCCTTGTGGAGTGTGGTCTGCATCGATGCATGGCGCAAGGACTCGGCCGTGCTGATTGTCCATCATGTCATGACGTTGTTACTGTTGGAATTTTCTCTTGTCTTGCGGTGAGTGTGAAATTTAGCACTATACAATAATCTTAAAAGACTGAGAATCAATCCCTGTCTGGTTTGTGGGGGCAACACTACCCGGTTGNACCCGGTTGCCAGGGTTGATTTTCTTGCAGCTTCACAACTGAGGTTTGCAGCTGGTCAAAGTCTGACCCGCGAAGTTGTGGAGCATTGCGTGGAACCAGTCGCTCGTTTGAGGGCTGGTGCCCGATCAGACAGGCCGTTATCCAACATTCCAGGACGCCTAATATACTATCAGCCATCCGATCGGAGTATCCAAGATGCAGTTAGTACACCTCTCCTAGAGAGGGTTGTAAGCAGGGGTTTCTAGATCTTCTAGAGAGGCTTGTTGTCTGCATCTCATCTACCGTACTAGAACCTCCGGTAGTGACTTTTCGCCTTCTCATCCTTCTTGAAACCCTTACCACGAGATGGCAGCAGACAGGCCTTCCCAATCTTATGCTTTTAGAGAAGCAATCGGAGAGAGCACTTCTTGCAGACAATGACGATTCTTCCGCTCTTGGATGAATTGGTGATTCTATCAAAAATCTGTAGTCATAGTGAAGTGAGTAGTCCGGTAGTTTATTATTCTCTTATCTTTTGTTAGCTGTAGTGTATTCGTTGCGTAAATGATTTTAAGTTTGTTCTGTAACTCATGAATGATCTATTTCTAATTGACTATTACCTTCATTAGACCTCTCTTTGCAAACTGGCAATTCTGCATGTTTCTACTCCCTCTGCGTAGGTTACATCGTATTGGCGCCTTGGTCGTCCTTTTGCATGACTTAAACGATGTTTTTCTCGAACTAGCCAAAGTCAATGTATACTTGCGCATGCGCAAGTATACATACCGTATGTTCAATGTGGCTCTGTCCAACCTGTTTTTCGTGCTGTTCGCCACATCCTGGTAAGTACATGTTCTTACTTCGTTTTGTATTCTCCCTGACAGTTAACGGTGGTTATAGATGTTACTACTTTTTGCTTCTCAGCTTGGTCTTTAAGCTTACGATGTTATTGTTCTGCATGCCTCTATTCTTTTCTTTAGTAGAGCATCGAACCACACGTTTAAGAATTTTGAGAACGTGGTAGAAAGTGGTATCTCCATTACCCCTCACCCTTTTCCTTCAAGAATGTACCCTTGCACAGCTAAGTGGCTGGATGATGGTGTTATTTGGTGGCGGGTCAGATTAGCACCTATCGCGATGCTACCCACGGACATCTGTTGCTTGTCAGACGAAAACCTATCCCGTCCTTGGGCGTCGTCGCTAATTGCCCGTGGCCGCTAATTCATTGACCTATTGATCCCTCTAGCTCTGTTTACCACCCAAATGACTGCACTGTCAGCAATCTTGAGACACCCGCTAGCGCACGTCTCCGCTGACCTCAGGCTTCCCGTTACCTACCGTCAGATAGCACGTGTTCTCCAGCATTTTCCTAATCAACTTATTATCCAGCATAAATCTTTTTCCGATTGTAGAAATACTGGCACTCCGAATTCGTATCCTTCTTTGATCCTTTGGTTCGTTTTCCAAACGATGACTAGACCATCCATGTCTGATACGCGACAACAAGATTGCTTATTTCCTCAACTGTCTCTAATCAGTCGCTTATGGACTGGTGAATATTTTGTTCTTGGCTAAGTGAGCAGTAATCTCCTACGTTGCCTCCCTTCAAAACTCAAATATGAATCATTGATCATTGCCCCCGACTTCCATTAAAAGTTGTTTCAGTGCAACAGACCACTTAATCATCGTTTGTACTGTTCGTTGATAGACTTGTTGCAAGTAATTTGGTTGTTTGCGATAAAGGTACGAGTTTTATCCAAATAAAAGATCATCAAAGAGCGAAAGAGAATGAATGTATCCAATCCCGTTGTGATAGGGTTTGGAGTTTATCCAGAGTGATAGAAAATGTGCGTAACATTTCAGAACGTTCGTTATTTTTAGCCCGTTAGTAATCGTTGAATTCATCGTATTTCCCATTCGTCTCTGTGAATTCATTACCCCAAATGATGGACGTTTTTCTTTGTTATAACAATTATGTTACTGTTTGTCGCTTGACACATCGTTTGAACTCAGACGCGAATGAAATATAAGTTAATGTAGTAAATATATAACTTATCCGTTCATTTGGGCTTTTCATGAACAGCATTCCGGCAGATAGCGAAACCCATATCGATATTTACCAATCTCATTGTTTCGTCGGCGCTTGTACTCAAATGTACTTAGTTGACGAGCCGCTCTTTTCTCGGGACGTACATGTCCATTCACTCGTCCGTTCAAAGGACTTTCTCATAATATTCACCAGGACGGGTAGCATATGAAAGAATTGTAAAAATAACCAGCTCACGAATTAATGCATAGTTGATTTCTCCCTTAACGAGTCATCTTAATTATGTCGATGCGTTATTCTTACATCTTTTATTTTTCAACTCACGCAACTTTGCCCTTAGTCGCAGAGCTGATATCGTCCTAATATCCCTTGCGTCTAACGTAAGTCATTGGGCGCGACATATTGATGATTTAATCTTTTCTACACACCTTCCTGAAAATTGTATCTTTCTATATTCAATAAGATGAAAAGAAAAAAGTGTGATGAACAGTAGACAGGGCGAACCCCATAGTCACGAGAACCTGCTGTTTAGTGGTGGCGAACCACATAAGGCCCCGGTAGGTGTTTTCCGAATTTCCAATTCACCGTAAGACCTTGGAGAACACAATGAATTTCCGTAAAACCCATCGTTGATGCTCCTATTATCCATTTCTCCCTTATTCGTGTATTATACCTTAATGATAACTGAATTTTAATCGAGCAATTACCCGGGTGTCTTCTAATTCACCCAGACACGAATAGAGTATGGTATCACATTCTTATTCCTAGTCCTCATAGCACATATAATACGACTAAAAGTAGTTTCACTGTATTCCAGTATAAACTTAGCATCCACTGTAATAGCCTTAATTTAACAGGCGAATCGAAACCACTCAATGGATTACACTACTCAATATTTTTTATCGTACAAAACCTTCAAAATACCACTTATGCACAAGGAAAATAGCTTTCAAATACGTAAACTGCGCAAAGTTCCTATCATCTATTATTGTTTACTCAATATGTTCCTGATAACGCGCTTGTCGCATACTATTATAACTCTCATTTGGGAGAATTGCATACAAGAAACTGCGCCTTAACCTCCTCTCGTCTTTTAACATTTTATGCTACAAAACCTGTCCGCCACAATTCTGCTGATTGTGGACATCTGCAAGGATAATGTCTGTGAAATGTTGTCCTTTGTCCTTGGCTAAGTGTGGAACGGCGTACACAGCCGAGACTGCATTCAGTCCACCCAAGCTACTAGGATCGATTTTCAATACTTGGCCAACAGGTTTTTGATAAAATAATCACTGTAACCATTTATGAAAGACTTCTTTGTGCTTAAGCAGGTTTCGAGCTCGAGCAGCATCCGTTCACCTTCCTTTTCGAGATCACCGAATACGGAAGAATTTCTGCGTTAATTCTTACGTATCGAAGACATTAGTTCAAAGATCTCCCCGTACTGTCAAACAACCGAAAGCACCACTTAAGGAGGGTGATTTTATTCGGTCTAACCTAAAATATAGTGCTGAACAATCCCTGGCGGCGAAATTTGATCCTCTTGGTAATGAAGACTGGAAAAAATGTTGAAATGCATCAGGTGACATCTGACGTAAAAAAAACATTGAAGGAGCAACAAACGCAGGCACACAGGAATTGAACCAAAAAATCCAAATCTCGGCATGTCATACTTTGGGTGTGAGAGTGGAGCAGTGCATTTGGCAGCAAACTGTTTGTGGGACTGATCCGGAAGTTCGTCAAAGACACTGGGTCTTTCAGGAGTCAATAATCCTAACGGAACAAAAGCAAAAGATCCCTACCTGCCCGGATCAGATTAAGAACCAGTGGCGCCTGCAACATCGTCTCAGGAAAAGCCCCAAGAAACGTGAGCCCCTATCAGAATTAAAATGACAAAATGGGTGGATCCCACGCCGAAGATGCTACAAATGGTCGTGGAAGATAATTGTTGTTTCCGTTACTTCGTTTCGAATAAATTCCCTTTTTGTCCTCCCTCAGCTCACAAAAACGTAAAATGTTAGTGATTTAATCCATAAATTAGATTGGTTGTGTACCTATTCGGTTGTGTATAGAAACATGGCGTTTATTATAAACCAATGATACGTATATATGATTTGTTTGGCAATTCGTTTGTAGAACTAATTGGTATCACATTGTCAGTACTTGTACCACACTAGTCACAACTGGAATCAAGCTGGGGGCATTTTGTGCGACTGTACATATTTGCAGTTTGCAGCCTCTGCAACTATCCATAAAGCCATGCAATCAACTGTTGTCGGAGTTCTTATCGAAAACCCCAATTCATGTGGTTACCTAAATCGCATCATTGTTTGTTCATTTGTCTGTCAACAGAAGAAGTCACACGGTAAACAGATTTAAAATCGCTCCCGAAAGTTCAGTGAGTAGTTAGTGGGCATCCTCGCGTATACTCGTGTATACTTTAGCTGGTCTAAATGCACCGTATTAATGTAGTTGGATTGAGACACAAATCACATCCCAACTGTTCATTGATCTGTCTTCTCCAATGTATGAGTCCGAGTCTTGACAACTCGGTGCACCAAGTGAAATTTGTACTGAAGTCAAATCATGCTCATCTATTTTGTCATTGTTCACAGTACGTTTGAGTGTTTGCACCGTGCGCTCGTATTCGCGTGCGAAGGCTAGGAGGACACCCGAGACAATTCAATCGGTGACCGCACACTTGTACGCAAACTACAGAACACACGCACACGGAGACAGACGGAACCTCTGCTCTCATCCTGCTCACTAGCTTGTTTCTCGATTGCGCGAATGAACATGAAATAGTAGTGACAGGGTGAAGTCTACCATCCGGTAATTTCAACGCTATGTCACTCGCGAGCACATGCACGTGTGTGGGTGTGAGTGCTCTCGTCACCTGTAATCGGAGGTCTCAATCTATCGACTTTTCTGAGTGCGTAATTTGCAGGACCCACCCAAGCACCTACACTCTCACGCAGCGATATACGAGCACAATGAAAGGAGGTCATCAAATGACACGAAACCCGTTGAAATTAAACCTTTCATCTTTTTGATTACCGTTACGGCTAGTTTAAATTGATCAACCGAGGACAGCAGAAAACGTGTTTCTTTACCATTCGATATCCAATGTGCTAAGTAGGTGTCCATGTATTCCGCACGATAATTACGGTGATACTGCTCTGTCCTGAAGAGTATGATTCGTATTGCTGCCGTGAAGCCATTGTTACCTTGGCTTCACAGTCTGTGAGCCTCAGTATGGTCGGGGTTGGGTGACTAAGGTTGCGGCTGGTCACCCTTCCCTTGCACCTCACGAAATACCAACATACGACCAGGCGTCTCAAATAACCTCTGCTGAGGAAGCCCTACTCACTGCCTTCTCGTGGCGGACGTGTTTTCTCGCCAAAGTGAGAGGACGAAAAGCCGACATCCGGGGTTACAACCCGGTTGGTGGACCACTGGTAGTTCACCAAAAATCCCGATTCCAAACCAACCAAAAGGATGCGTACGAACCACATCCACACCTTTTTGGTTGTGGCAGTGGTCACCGGCTCGATTGGGCATTGAAGTATATTGGGCACCGTGGACGTTCAATCCCGTCTGAAGGGCGAATGATCCGATGAACTGGACACCGGGTCCCAATGGATTGCGGTTTTCACACACCGGCCCGCTGCCTTACGAGTTAGGTTTTGGCTGGCCGAGGGCTCCGGTTATGGATTCCACAAGAAGATTCACTTGCCTTGACGTGGGCAACCTGGCATTCTTCAACCCACATGCAAATCATGGAACGGTTTTCTTTTTC